TCTTTTCTATACTTTTTGATTTGTATTTTAACTGTACTTTTTATATATCTTAATAAAAGTTTTAATAAAAAAAAGATAATAATAAAAATTGTTTGAGAGTTGGAAGCATAAGGCAACAAGCTGGAGTTAGGAACTTTGCTGTGCCCCTGAAAATTAACCTCAGAGGTACCACAAAATGTCAATCCCCTAGCATCAGTTTTGAAATTAAACTATATCCTTGAAGTGGCTTTCTATAAGATAAGCACTAAATGTAATTAATTCATCAGATAGAGGAAACGATCAATATCTGCTGTTCCTGTTTTTGTTCATTTCATATTATCTACATCTTGCTTATTCATTTTCAGGTGTTGACCATGTCAGTATTCAGCTGGACTTGGAAACCATGTTTCAGTTCAGCCACCTTATCCTGACTTTCAAGGTACTTTATACAAAACCACAAAATACAGTATTTAAATTATTTAATAGCCTAGTACTTATTGAGAGTAGGAAACATTAATTTAATTTTTGCTTTTGTGTTGTTGAAGATGGGTACTGTGTCTTTCAGAATCACTTAGCACTTGTTGACTAGGATCTGTGATCACCTGGAAACTAGTCTACCTTTTGCAGAAAGGACGTACGCTTCTTATAGTTCACTAGGAAAAAAAGGGGGACCTCTTTCAGCATTCCTTCATATGCCAATTTAAGATTTCAAAAGATGCACTTTAGCCTGACTTCATGATGCCAAGATCTGCAACAGATCCCCGAAACCTTTCATGCTTCAGCTAACATTTATAGCAGCAATTCAATGAAATGTATCATCTCCTGAATACGTTTTTTAATCTGATTAGGTATATATACACATGAGACCTCTGGCAACAGGTAATGGAGAGATTTGTAGTATATGTTTTAGCAGGGATGTCCAGACCTGAGTGTGTTTTACTAATGGCTTAGGGTGTCTACCAATATTTGCAGCACTCGGTCAATCTATCTGCTCAGCCCAGAGTATCAGACGGGTCTATTTTTTGCTACCAGACAGGAATGTTTCTATATCAGACCCCAAATGAATATATATATATACAGTAGAATGTGAATGTTAGGATTCATTTTTTTATCATCATCATCATCATCATCATCATCATCATCATCATCATCATCATCATCATCGGCTTTACTGAAACTCTGGCTTAATTTATCTTTTGGTTCCCACTATGATATTAGATTCCACTGTGCATATTTGGTAAGGGTGCACCTATAAAAGAGTCTTAAAAGGTAATCCCGTTGAGTCTGGATACTTGAACTATTTCACCTTTCCTGATCATCTATCAGTGTAAAACTAGCCCTGGGCTATATCCTCTTTGTGGTGGATCTCTGGGAACCCAGGCTGGACTGTCTTAGGAAAAGACTTTGCCCATTTCTTGTTATGATTCTCATGCTTGGGTGTTCACCATGAAAAGCAGAAGTGGGAATGCTTAAGCCATCCTGAAAATCCACAGTTAAACTAATCCTGTACTAAACCTCTTTTGGAGAATTAAGTAACTTACATTTTATTTGGTTGCATCATATGCTCTCTATGTATTGTGGATAGAATTTTGGACTTGGGTATAAAATGACATTCATCCATAGGTTCATGTTTGTAACCCTAGAGTTTAGGGAAACTTTCTCCAGTTTGGTACCACCAGATGTCTTGGAACTACAACTCACAGAATTTACAACCAGCAAGGTGACAGAGGGTACCACATTGGAGAAAATATTTCTGATGGAAAGATGGCTTATAGTTGTGATAGATATGTAAGAGGAAAAGAAACAGGCTGGAGACAATGAGATAAATAAATATTGGGCACTGAATGTTCATTCTTAGTTAACTGTCACAAAATCTTCTAGGTAAAGGCTCAGTTGCAGAACAGTCTAGTGTTATCTGTGGTTAAAACTTTATTCCGACTGAGATCCAGTCATGTCACTTTCTGTCAAACAGATGTCAGTTTCATATTAGCCCATTGTAAATCTTTGAAAAGCAACTTTTATAGGGGCTTGCTGAAAGCTGATTAGTTCACAATAATAAATAGACAATATTTTAAGTAACATAGGGGTCTCAGATGCTGAAGTGTTCATAACACAAGTTCTTAAATTGGTAGCAATCTGAAGTTGCATCCTTTGTAGACTTTTCGTCCTGCCTCCATGTTGGTGGAACGCTCTGCAGATTATGGTCAAACCTGGAAGGTGTACAGATATTTTGCACAAGATTGTGCTGCTTCTTTTCCTGACATTCCTTCAAGACCAGCCAGAGCAGTTGGAGATGTCGTTTGTGACTCCAAATATTCAGATATTGAACCGTCAACTGAAGGGGAAGTACGTATATTATTTCACCTTAATGAGTTTGATTCTCAGTGCAATTACAAAGTCATTATGTACAAATCTTTTCAGAACTAAGTTTCCTTGAAATCAGAATGCTGCCAGACACTTTTAATGGTCCAGTCTGCAGTTAAGCATTGGCAAGGAATGTATTTCAGATCAATGTGTTGTTTTCATGTGCTTAACATTATAAATATTGTTTTGGATGTTGACAGGTTATTTTCAAAGTTCTGGATCCCAGTTTTGAAATAGAAAATTCTTATGGCCCATACATCCAAGGTAGGAATAGCTGGGATTTTAACAGTGTTTTAGCAATTCTTCTTTGCTTTGATACAATGTTTGGTGGCTCAGTGGTAGAACACAGTTGGTAAAGTGTTAGAAATTCTACCTTCATCATCTGGTAAAAGAAAAAAAGTTATTGGGTGGAATGGCTGAATAATGATTTGAAGAGCATTGCAGTTTGAATTAAGTCACTTTCTATATCTGGTATCTTCCTCATGTGATTCACTACATATTTCCTATTCTTCAACTAGAGGGAATGATTGTGGGGTTACAGTAATTATAGTCTAGCATATCTATAGAATATCAGTTGAGGAAGGATGGAATAGCTAATGTTTTGTGACATGAGGCCATTGTATTTCCTTGGCTTATAAGGTAGCTTGCCAAAGTTACGAACATAACTTTGAGCTACATTCATCCAACATTTCCTTACATTTTCATCATAGAGCTGGTTGCATTTACAAATCTGAGAATCAACTTTACAAAGCTTCACATGTTGGGAGACACTTTATTAGGAGAAAAGCAACACGATTCTCTGGAAAAATACTATTATGCGCTTTATGAAATGATTGTTCGTGGAAGCTGCATTTGCAATGGTCACGCCAGCCACTGTGGCCCAGGGCAAAATCTGCGAGGAGATGTTTTCCATGAGGCTGGGATGGTGAGTTGCAAGAGTTCTCTTTTCCAAGAAGACTTCATTTGAACACAAAGTCTGTTGCCTTGAAACATTGCAGCAATATTCCTAAATACAACCAGCAAATAGATACAGTATTTGGGTGCCAATAACGCTATCATGATATGTGTAGTTTTTTATAATGGATAAATCTAATAGTATTTACATTGTCAAGGAACAATATGTAAGAGGGAGAGAAAAGGAGTTACCCAAGATTATGGAAATAGAAAAGCATTAATGTATAAATGGGGTATGCAAGAAAGTCTTGCAAAGTAGAAAGTTCCCAATGTTGCAGTGTGGAACCAAGACATTTGACTAGCTTTACACAACTGGATAGGTCCTCAAATGCATTGCCTTTGCAATTTCCAGTCTGCAGTTGATGCTTGCTGGAAATCTTGTCTTGGGTGTTGGAGCGCCAACAAAGCTGGAGGATGCTAAGTTAGGGAAGGCTGCATTAGATCACTTAAAAGCAACATCTTTACATGGTCTGGGGTATGCCCAAGTCAAGTGTCTTTTCAAGATGTGCCCCAATAAATGTGCATCTTAGGTATCCTACTAGCAATATACAGTGGTACCTCGGGTTACGAACACCTCTACTAACGAACATTTCGGGTTACGACCAGCTTCGGCAGGAAAATTTTACCTCGGGTTACGACCAACTCGGGATACGCCCAGAGTCACGGAACGGAATAAGTTCGTATCCCGAGGTACCACTGTATATTATTATGGGTTTATGCTTCGATCAAGGTGATCACAGAGAAACATTATTACCTGTGTAGATCTTGTGTCCAAAATTTCTGCAAGTTGGGTGCTCTGAGATGATGCCTTTGAAGATAGCAGAGGGTCATAATGATGGGTAATGGTGTACACACTTTTACTGTGGAAATGCTGTTAATTTCTGTGGCCCTTACCCAAGATTCATGTCTAGCGGGTCACATCAAAGAAATGCAAGGCACTGATTCCAAAATGCACTTTCATAGTCTTCATTGATGTATTTCAGGTCCATGGAAACTGCCTCTGTGAGCACAACACAGATGGTTTGTCCTGTGAAAGATGCAAAGATTTCTACAATGATATTCCCTGGAGGCCAGCTGATGGATCCCAGGAAAATGCTTGCCAAAGTATTCCAGTGATTGGCTTAATTTTTACCAGATTTGTGAATAATAATTGGCCATTACACTGCAGTGGCTAAATGTGCATTGGAGTGACAGACTGAAATTTTATTTTACAGGTAGTCCTTGATTAACAACCATTCATTCAGTGACCGTTTGAAGTTACGACGGTGCTGAACAAGGAGACTTACAGTCAATCCTTGACGTTGCAACCATCACAGTGTCCCTTGGTCACATGATCACCATTTGCAACCTTCACTGCTGGCTTCTGACAAGTAAAATCAATGGGGATCACAAATGGGGATCACATGACATCACGCCTAACAACTGCAACTGGAACTGCGGTTGTAAGTCACTGCGGTCACACATCATTGCAGTTTACATCATTTAGTGATGGAGTTTCCGGCCCCAATTTCTGTCGTTAACTGAGGACTACCTGTATTTTATTTTAATTATTTATATTGGTGCCTATCTCACAACCATGACTCTGGGTGGCGTAAAAGTATTAAAACCACAGCTGCCACATATAACTTAAGATGCCCAAGGTTAAAACAATAAACCCCGATCACAAAACCACGTCAGCAATACAGCTTACCTCATTCCCTGGCCCAAACACTTGGGGGAACTGCCAAGTCTTCAAAGCCTTGCAAAAGGCTAACAGGGTTGGGGTCATCTGGATTTTGGGGAGGATGCTGTTCCACAGGTTGGCACTGCCACAGAGAAGGCATGATTCCTGGGTCCAACAAGAGGACATGGTTTGACGGAAGGGTCCTGGAAGATGCCTTCCCTGCTAGATCTGGTGGGACAGGCAGAAACGCTTGGAGAGAGACTTTCCTGTAAATGGCCTGGCCCTGTGCCACGTAGGGCTCTATAGGTGAAAACCAGCACTTTGAACCATACTCAGAAGCCCACTGGAAGCCAGCACAGCCCTTGGAGCAGCTGTCTTCCATGAGTGTCATGAGAAATGCCAACAAGTGCCCATGTCTCTGGACTAGCTTTATGTGGTGTGTTTCTACTATGACTACAGAAAAGAACATTTCACTGTATGCAGACTCTGCTTTGGAACCTGGATTTATCTGGTTCCTGTTTGTGTGTGACTGTACCATTACGTTTGCTTTCTGTTCCAGAATGTGAATGCAACGGTCATTCTGAAAGTTGCCACTTTGACATGGCAGTGTACCTTTCTAATAATCGTATCAGTGGTGGAGTTTGCGAAGACTGTCAGCATAACACAGCGGGGCAACACTGTGATCGGTGCAAGCCTTTCTTTTATCAGGATCCCCAAAAGACAATGGCAGATCCTCATGCGTGTGTCCGTAAGTGTGAAGCTCTTGTTCTATGACCCACTGGATTAGAATTCTATGACTTTTCTCCTGAATTTCTGTGGGATGTAACTTCAGCTAATTTAGTCTGGCTCCATTTCACAGTGTTTATTTATCAGTCGAGAATTCATGCACAGAACAGGGAGCCAGTTGTACAGACTGTACGTAGAAGCAGATGTTGATTGAGATCTGGCATGAATTAGAAACAAATGGGTAGATACAGAAGTCTCAGACCCCTAAGCCAGGCTCCAGACCAGTCTCACAAAAAGGCCCAGCTGCTTGTACCCCCATTTTGCAGATCAGGTCCAAAGTGCAGCATAGCCCTATTGCAAAGTACAACAGACAACTTCTAGGGAATGTAAAATAACCCTTTTAAATTTGCGGATAGGACTTTATATAATATCCCTCATTCAAGTAAAGGGAACCCTGGTCTGTATGTACCACCCTGCAACCAAGCACATGCTTTTATTGTCATACACTCTATACATGATGGCTTATTCCTGTTGAATTACTCCTACTATTTCTTTGGTACACCAGGATATAAAACAAGGTGCAACTAATACTGCCTCTGTCTCACTCCGAGTAAGTACTTTATATTCTGCATAGTCTCCTTTAATAAAGAAATCAATGATATAGTAAGATTGCAGCATTCCACACAACGAACTTCACCCTCAGTCTTTCATTAACTGATTCACAAGATCCCGCTGCCACGAACTGCTCATATCCCAACCAGTGACCAATAATGGAGTGCAGTGGTTGGCAGCCAATCAGTCAACAACATTGATCCCCTCCCCGCAAATCCTTATCCTAACTTTGTGTTGCATTTGTTTTTTGAGTGATTGGAAAGCAAATGACTACTCAGTGGACAGGAGGCAGTAAAGCTGCCCATCTTGCTCAGTTTAGACTGGCAGAACATGACCGTGGCACCACTGTCTTTATAAACCCTGGGGGGAGGAGGGAGTGCCAAGGGGTCAGGAGGCGGGATAAGGCAAGAGTCCCCACCAATGGGAAACCACTCATCTCAAAGCTCCAATGCATCAGCTACATCAGCTGTTCAATCACTGCTGCCTTCTGGGAATACCCTGTGATCATGTCATTGCAGAGACAATCCAGAAATATGTGATGGTTTAAATCAGGGTTACCTGAGATGGTCAATATCAACCCCCAAAGGTCAATGGGACTATCCAAGGGTTAGGGTTGGGGGTCAAAAGGGGGTCAGAAAATGTCTGGGGATCAATAGGTGGTTGATAGGTTGATGTGATGGAATGGAATTATGAAGGCCAGGCTCGGTGAGCTAAGAAAATGCTTATCTCCCCGAGCCTGGCCTTCATAATTCCATTCCATCACATCAACCTATCAACCACCTATTGATCCCCAGACATTTTCTGACCCCCTTTTGACCCCCAACCCTAACCCTTGGATAGTCCCATTGACCTTTGGGGGTT